AGCTGGAGAGATAAAAGTATGGTCAGATGAAGGCCAAAAATATAGGGTTGTGAGTATGGAAGCCGTAAGACTCCCCAGAGTGTCTGTTTGCATACAAATTTGGGTAAGCTTTCTACGGGAGCAAAAACGGGAAGAAAGGTCTGAGCCCTGACTCAGCTCACCGCATCGACTTCCACCATTTGCCTACCAGACCAGCCCATCCTCCCTGGCCCTAGCAGGAAGGGCTTTGGCCTTGGGGGTCTTGGCCCAGGAAGGAGGGACTCACCTGCTTCTCTCAGTGTCCATGTCTTCTCTCTCTGCTAAGAGGCTCTCAGGCGCCAGCCCTGGCTCTCCTCTCACAGAGGAAATACGCTGACCTCGCTTTCATTTCACAGGCTTTATTGTCTCTACAGGAAGGGCAAACAGTTTCACCATCAGCTGCTCACTGTTTGACCAGCACAGAGTGGATCCCGCTGCTTTTCAGGCTGTGTTTAACCAGAAGACCCTCAGGCCAGTTATCAACTACAGCATCCCCACTTAATGTCAACATCTCGTTCACTCTTTCTGCCACCCTAGAAGTGGTGAGACTTGGCTCCCGCATCCTTTCCATAGGCTTCTAGTAGGAAACAAGGACCCTCTGCCCTGTCGACCCAACATGGCATGGTCAAGTGGTGAGAAATGAGTCCCCTGAATGGATTTTATACCAGTTAAAGGTTCATCCTATGGGGTGGGGGAGATTGCAGTGACATTTCTGCAGGGAACATTTGTCCTTGAGAATGTTATGAGAATATTCTACATAAAATACATTCCCAGTGATTCACCATACTGTTTTTTCAGCGGCATTTTCCATACAACCTGGATTTTCCTGACCTACTTTTTTATGTATGTGACTTGTGATTGACAAGCTGAACAGTCACACAGAGCCACTTAGGAAACAAATAAAGGCCAGAGTAAACTACGACCTGATCTCATGGCATTAATGATCCTGGATGGGAATTGTTTTGTCAGGATGCACAACATCAGCTGCTGATGTCATTTCTGTGGCTAAATATGGCATGTGAGATTCAGCTTCTTCTCTCTCCTTCCTTTTTTTTTTTTTGGCTTTGCTTGCAAAAATCACATTTGTTGACATTGACAGTGCCTGGATGACCAGACAAATCCAACCAGAACGAGGCCAACGCTGGTGACAAATAGCTTTCTGGGCTGCCAATCAACTTTGAAAGACTTAGGTGGAAAATACAGGGAGAAGGAAGGTGGCACAGTTGGAAGCCACTAAGTAAGCTTCATGGCCCACACATACTTAGGGTCAAGCTTAAGATTTCCCTTGAGTGGGAAGTAGAAGGCCAATAAGACTTCGTTAGCTAGAGAAAGAGACAGTTATCACCAAGAAGTGAAGAGGAATCAGAGTTTTAAAAGGAAAAGAGGTCCAAAAAACAGTATGGGAAGTATGACTCTATCTGTGTAAATAAAATTGAATGCTGGAAGATGAATTCTTTTTTTCTAGAATGGTACACAAGAAACTGATAGTAGTGGGACTAAATTGGGGCCCTGATGGCATGGTGGTTAAGATCTCGGCTGCTACTGTTCACAATAGCAAAAAGATGGAAACAACCTAGGTGCCCATCAATTTATGAATGGATAAACAAATTCTGGTATATCCTCACAATGGAATACTACACAACCATAAAAAACAACGATGAAGCTGTGAAACATCTTATAACATGGAGGAACCTGGAGGGCATTATGCTGAGTGAATTTAGTCAGTCACAGAAGGACAAATATTGTATAAG